TAATAATTTAAAATTAATTTGTAAATTAATATTATTTAATAAATTAATAAAATTAGATAAATTAAACAAATTTACTAATTTTGTGTGGCTGTTATGATCCCTTCTACTCCAGACAATATTATTATTTTCCCTTTAAACCTTTAAGGTAATTGTTAGCTAAAAAAAGAAAAAAAAAAAGACAGACTGATTAGTTTCCACTACTAAGGGTATGTTTGGTGGTGCTTCTTAAAGTTTTTTTTGTTTTTTTTAGGTACTGTTTATGAGTGATAAGTCTAAATTTTTATTAAAAAAAAAAATTTAAAAGTTACTTTTAAAGATAAAAAAAGTAAATAAAAAGTGAGTAAAAAAAAGTTTATAAAAAATTTAAATTTGAATTTTTTAAGTTTTTACTGTTTAAAGTCTTAAAATAAAAAAAATTGAAAATGTAAGTTTTTAAAAAGAAAATTTAAATTTATGAAATATAAATAGTGTCAAAAAACTGAAATTTTAAGAAATAAAACTAAATAAACCCTAAATACCAACTATCTGTTAGTTTGAGTGGAAGAAGTTTGATTCCCTTAAATAAGATTTGAAGTTCAAATTTTGTGGATAAAGAAACAAGCGCTGAGAGAACATTCTCTTAATAAGGTCTAACGTAATTCAATTCTAAATTAATCAGATTCAATATGGTTATCGAATATCAAAAAAATTAATTAAAAAAAAACCCTAAATTGTTGACTGGGCTAAAGTTGGTAAATGCTAGTTTTACAATTCTACACGACCACGCCTAACTAGAGACCCCTCTTTTTTTTTATTTTTATTTTTTCTTGGAACGGTGGTAAATTAATGCTAGCTTTACTGGGAATAAATAATGGGGCAGCCGATGGGTGTGTACTCAAAATCAAATTTCAAATTTCTTCAGCTCATCCCGACACTGATGCTTGTCGAAGAAGCAAAGTTGAAGCTGTCCTAAATTTGTCTGAAGAGTGCTTTTTGAATCTTTTAAAATTTTTTAAAAAATTTTAAAACAATCAATCAATATTGTATTCAGCAGCACTAATTTCTCTTCCATAGCTTAACGTTACAGAGTTTTCTTCCTTGCCTTTTTCCCTTTCCTCAGGCTCCAGTCTTTGCCATCAACTCCTTTTTCTGCACAAAACAAAGGCATAATCCCCAAATTTGTACCTTAAATAA